ATTCCTTTGGGCTAGATTAAGGTGAAGCAACACCAAATGATCATTTGAACGTTTTATTTATGGGAGAAGGAACCTGAACTTGGAAGGTGTAACGGCAGGTGGCGGAGTTTCTTACAACAAGAATTGTCATGAAACTGCGTCAGTAAACCATGTAACACGTGGTAACCATATATATCACTTCAGGTAAGACAATAAGGAGATCTCTCCCGTTGGGTCACGACGTTCAGAGCAGACCCCCTTGCTTTCTAGACTCCTCCTCAGAGAGGAGCCCCGGGGCGGCTGGATCCATTCCTAGTCCCAGACTTGGTACAATGGTTTATGTCTAAAGGGATGAGGTGTAGGGATTACAGAAAAAAAGAGAGAGAAAGACAGAGAGACTGTGTCTAAAGGGACGAAGAGTAGGGGTTATGCGAAGAAAAAAGAGAGAGAGAGAAGAAAGATTTCACCAGTGTTGGTCCAGCCAGCCTAAGAGTCCAGTTCCGGAGGGTGCCCGCATGTGGGGCTTCAGTTTGTTTCCTTTTATCATCTCTTTGTCCCTCCTTCAGGTGGGCACTTGAACTCATTAGGCTAATTAGGTGTCATGTGCTGTTTGTGCTTCCATAACCTTTGGGAAATGGGTCGGTGGGCTTGGGAGTCATTTGGGGAGTACCTTCTCCCTCCCTGCAGGTATGACCGTTGTTTGACATTTGGCCAAACACAGTGAGCTGCCCATGAACTGCACACCTAACCTGTGGTTTGGTTTGTTGTTATGCAGAACTTGCCCCACCACAATGTGTGAGACATTAACTGTTTCAGTCCCTCACATGTGGTGTTGCTATGTGGCCTTGCAAGCAACTTCCATTCCTTCCCTCAACCGCAAAACCCAGGCCCTGGTCTCCATCACAATGGGTGTTTGAGGCATTAACTCTGTCCAGTCTCTCATAGGTACTCAGCAAAAATCATGGAAGGGATGTCAATATTTCCCTCTTGTTGTACATATTTGTTCATTGGGAACAATTCAGTGTATGTTATTGTAGTTCTCCCTTTTTGTTATTTTTTTGTAATGGAGAAATGCTGTGCTTACAAGCAGGTGTATCAAAGTTGTGCACTATTCTGTCTTCCTGTGATGCCTTGTGCTGTTCCCCAGCTGGGACCTGGAGTATGTAGGAACCTGCAGAGTAGGGACAATAGGCAGCCACTGCTGCTTGCAGTGAGTCTTGTGATATTTGATAGTGCATCTTGGAGTCATGCAGAAGCCCAAATGACTCAGCTCTTCTAATAAATAAATAAATAAATGAATAAGCAGAAGACCCAACAGCTACTTCTGTGGTCTTGTATACATGACAGTAAGGGGAAAAGCTAAGGAAGCGTGATGGTAAGCAAATCCAAATCTTTAAACAGGCAAAGAAAACTGAACAGAACAAAGCTCGTGAGCTCATAAATCAGCATCCAAAACTTTGATTTAAGATTTTTGAGCGTTTGCAGGTGGAATTCTGTTGGTACTTTGTTATATTTGGACTTCTGTGTGCTGTAATGACTTCATGGCCCTCAGACCAATTTATTAGTGATTTTAAGTAGTTTAAAAATACACAGCGAATTGTGTATTAAAGATATAAAAATATTCAAGCACTGTTATCAGTTCAGTTCTGCTCTCTGTATTGCTGATTAACTGAAAGATTTGAATTAAAATTATTTTAAAATTAGAGTTGGACATAGTTTATTATATATAGTGGTTTAGTCCTCCATTATTATTCATGATTTCTTTATACTCAAAGTGGTGTCATTTAGAGTGTAAGCACTACTTAATGTCCTTCTAAATAATTGCAGTCACATTTCCCTTGCTATTCTTTAGTGAGTTTTTGTTTGGCTTTGTGTTTTTTCTTTGCTGGGCTCCCAGCATAAATACAAGATATTTTTAGATGTTAAAAATGCTCTGAATCCGTGTTCTGTATAGATCCTAATGCTTTTTGGAAGCCTGCAGTGTTTTTTCCAAATCTGAAAAACATTTTTATTTTCCATTCTGTTTCTGCCTGAGAAGAAGCAGTAGGTCATGCCTGGTTCACCATGTACACACATGGTAAAGCATTTTCAGGAGATGGTGGCTTTTTTCAGAGCACATGAAAAAAAGTGCACACTTTTTTATAGTCTTCCGGACTAGATACATAGAAATCCAGTATATTAAGTGGCAGAAGGTGATAGCACACAATACGACATTGTACTTTTTTGGTTTTTTTTAAAGAGGTGCTAGTCATCTGCTTGGTCCGAACTGTGTAACCTAATTAATATAATGTTTGCTGTTTGTCTTTTAGCTTAACTCCTAGCTGAAAGTAAACTTATTTTTAGCACTTCTACTGAATAAAGACTTGGATACTGATGTGAAGTCATTTGAGTTCTTATTTGTATGATGTATGGCTTAGTTTTGGTGTTATCTTCAAAAAGTGAATGCAGTCATGCACCATAGTGCACCATAATCCAGTTAGTTACTGTTTGGTTGCATGCAGCAGGGTCACTTGCAGATTTGAAAAGAGTCCTTACTGCTAACCCAATTTGGTTAGAGAAGGGTGATGTTCCTTTCAAGGGTTTTTAAAAAACGGTTTGTGCACCATTTCTTTCTACAGACTTTTTTTTTTGTTAATTGTTTGGTTTTGTTTGGAAATAACCCAAAACAAAATCTCCCTGTCAACACTTGAAAAGTTGTGTACATCCTACAAAGGTGGTTAGATGAAATTTCTCTGGTTTTATGAAAGACAAACTTTTTCTTCTGTAGTCCAGTTTAAATAAGCTGATAATAGTCTTGCATTATAAGATCCTTGTGGCCAGAGCCTTTGTTTTATTTACTTTCTAACACTATCGGAAAGCTAGTTGGATTTGATAGTGGTGTGCATTCTTACAGTAGGCGGGTGAATTTTTCTGGGTTTACAGCAATACCTTGATAAGGCATCAAATCTCTGTAAAGTTCTCTAACTTGCTTGGCTGAAGCAGTTGATGGCATTTAAAGATTTAAATAAATGTAAACTAGAAATTACAATAGTTGAAAGAGGAAGATATTTTTTAAACCAACAATCATAAGCCCCCTCACTTACTTGCTCAGCATTTTTCTTAGGTTTTTCTTAAGTTCAGCATTGTCTCACTTCTCTATGCAATTTTAAAATTCAAAATATGGGCATTTCTAAATTTGAAAGAAAGACATATCAGAACTTTAAAAAAAAATCTTTGAGGCTTTCCTCATAAATCATGGAGAAAATAGGTATAACCATCTCTCCTATTTCTTCTATAATCATTGTTAAAGTTCATTAAATCCATAATTCAGTGTATTTGGCTGTTGCGGTATTAATCTTGATAAAATAATTTAGACTCAGTACACTGATAAATCTTGATAAAAGCCTGCTAGCTTTAGAGAGATCTTTTGATTTCATATTGAAGATAGTTGTTGTCTTGTTCTGAAGAAAGAGAAGCATTAAGATGGAGTGATTGCCATGCGCTGGAACTGATAATTGCTTGTAACGTTCAAGTTTGCTTCCTAGAAGGCAAAACTGATCAGGAACAAATGAAAAGAAAATAACAGCAAAACAGAAAAAGCTATTTCTGCTCCTGAGATGTACTCTAATCATAAAGTATGTGGTCCTTATTTACTCTTGTGAGCCCTGTCATACCTGTAGTTCTGCTGAGCTGTTTTTTGCCTTAGATAGCCATTGCTTTTAGCTTTTTCAAGTCATGGGCTCACAGTACTGTAACCAAAGGTGCAATCTGTTCATGAAAAATGAGAAAGGGAAAGAAGAAATTAAATGGGAAACCTATGAAGAAACCAAACAGTGGAGGTAAAGATAGGAACTCAGGTCTTCTGTTTCATTTGATAATCAGGATTAAGCTAGAGTTGTGCAGAGATGAGATGAGATACTGTATGGTTTGTTTAGCGATTTTAGTGAGGTTCTGGTTGACTAATGATACCTGCCATATGTTAGTAGATTAGGTTCCGGAAGCTTGGGAGAAGAAGGAAGCAGGGAAACGAATAGCTGTAATATTGTTGGTTTTCGTTTTAGGTCGTATGTTGTCCTCATGCAAATTCTATTTTTTTTAATATTCAAAAACTAGTAAAAGGTAGACTAAGCTACACTCTGTGATTTTTACCTGTTCAATAGACATATCTGTGAATATGATGGTTTTGGCTTATTGGTATCTATTTTTATGTTAGGCTGCTTTTAGCAGGTTTGGTCTTAGTCCAGTCCATGGTTTATGTACATATGTTTTCTTACCGTTCTTCTTGTCTTCACGCTGATTTCCTCGCACCGCCCCCAGATTTTTTGTATATTTAACACATTATGGTTTTAGTTTGTAACGTAACTACATCGATATTGGTGCTTCCAGTAATAAAACTCTATTGGAATAAAAGTACACCAGTGCAAAATAATAACTTATGTGTAGCAGAAAATACAGATCTGGAAAAAGCTTTTAGCTGACTTCTAATTTTCACAAACTTTCTTAAGTGTATTTCTAAAGAACATTGTTTTCTTGCTCTCACTTGAGAATTTTTTCAGAAGCTTTTATATAATGCTTGTTAGCTGAGCATATGTTAGAAGACTGATTTACTGTCTGTTTTGAAATAAAATCTAAGAGCTGCATATGGTGAAACTTAATGTTGAAGCATGTATTCCAGGATCAATGTTTATTAATAGAAATTGTCCTGCTGCTAGAAATACCAGTACTGGATATAGCAAAAGGCAGCCTTTTTTGAATAATGTTTATTTCTGCTGCCTTATGTCACATTGTGTACTCCTTTATTGTTGGCTATAGGTCTTTGTCTTCCTTCAAAATTCTGTATGGTTAAAACTTTGTTTATTCAAGAGAATTGTTTGCCATGGGTTTTTTATTCATGGGACAGTGAGAAACTTGTAGGGAATTCTCACTAGAATAGAGGTGGGTTTTTTGTAATTGTCTTCTGAAAATGCACAGTGTAACATTTTTGTCTATAAAAGGTGTAGCATACATTTAATGTATTTTTGTCTTTTTTTCCTGCTTCTAAGGCTGATAAAGAATTTGTGTGGTCTCTGTGGAAACATCTTCAAATGTCAAGTCCAGATCTTACTCAAGCTGTCAGCTTGGTTGTGGAAAGGTGAGTTTAAAGATTTAACATGATACTAAAATGGAAAAGAAACAACCCTCCCACTGCTGATACCATATTCTTTATCTTTTTAGTTGAGAACTATGTAGGATTTTGAAAATGTGTTACAAAAATTCTATTGTTAAATTTTGTCAAGAGTACCTAGAATATGTTGCAACTTTTCTTTTCTGGTATAAGTTGATGTATACTTGAAAATGTGTTTTCACTGAGATTGCTGTGCTGCAGTTGAATTCGGTTTCGAAATTATAATTATTCTGTTTTTCTGTTGAAGGAGCAAGAGGCAGCAAATGACATTTTCTGGTGTCATAAGTGGTTGGATAACAGTTACATGTATAAATTATGTTTACCTGCATTCTTAAAGAAGTGAAAGGCTATGACATAGTAACAGAAGAGATTGACTATGCAGTTTAATTATTGCTTCTCTGAGGATATTAATGATGACGTTTTCCTCATGGTACTTACATACTATCATCTGATTGCTATAAGTATTAGTAATCATCATAGTATGTGATTCATTGTTTTAGAATGCTATTATTTACAAGTGCAGAATTTTTGTAGGCCAAAGATAAGGGGGATGTGTATGAGTTGGTAACATGACTGTCAGAATTCAAACACTTGATTCTGTTCTCGTCAAAAGATTTGTCTGTTCTGTCTCTCAGGGTGCCATGATTTCCCTCTTTTAAAATGAAAAAGTGAATTATTTTTTAAAAGAAAAAAAGGATTTTAACTTCTTTGAATGGCTAGTCAGTGTTACTTGGGAAGCTTTTCACAGAGCCGGGAGGGGTCCTAGCTACTTTGGATTTCTGTTCAGTGTTTTGATCTTGAAAGGCAAGTTTTGTTTGTTCACACCTTTCCTTTCTGGACTTGATCAGTAAATGTTCTTCCACTTCTGAAAATACAGCATTAAGTTCTTTAGCTGGGAGTGCATTCACTATAGTGTTGTCCCATGTCCTGCATTGCATAAAGCAGTGAAAATTTCGTCCAAAAATATGGTGTGATCATGTAACTAGAGCTAATGTTGTAAAGCATTCATATCCAGGGGAAGAAATTGATGATGTAAGCACATACAGCTTGTTTTAAGACAGCTGTTACCTGAGAGTTCACATCTGGTCACCAACGATGATGTCAAATAACTTCTGGCTCTGTACTGGGACAGTTACCTGCAGAGAGTAGTAGCTTGGCTTTTAGGGCAGTGTACTACTTTCACACTGCTTGCATGTTTTGATTTTGGAAATAATTTTAATATGTGAGGAAGACTTAGGAACAGATTTACAGCATCCCTCATTTATGTTGAAATGCGGATTCTTACTGACTTGTCTTACGATAAAATTTGGTCATATTTTCATGAGGACAGCGGTGGTAGTATTGATCTACTTCAAACAAAAAAAAATCTCAGAACTGCTTAAAATATATAAATATAGTATTTAATGTATATGAACATACATTATATGTATATAAGCACAAGTATATGAAAAACATTAAAAAATTGCTTTGCCTTAACCACATTCTGTAGATAGCTGAACATATAGAAAATTTTAGCTTTTTCACATGAAACTTAACAAAATAGGAACAGAGGTGTTCAGGCTTATTAACATTTTTGGTTTGTGGTGCATTTAAAAAATAATCATGATATTAGGACAAATTGAAGCGTAGAGATGTTAGAAAGCTTGCATTTAAATAACAGTGAATACAATGAATTATTTTGAGTTCTTGAACTGTATGCCTATATAAGATACAGTCAGTCTTCTTTGTTTATCCTTCTTCAGGTCTAGGAATATTTTTATGGTTGGTAGTTATCCCTTGCTTTAAATTACGTAGTACTTTATTTACAACAGAAATTGATAATTGTCTGTGCATTATCCTGATAGATACAATGAACATGGGGCTCTTAAGATAACACCTTGATGCCCACAAGCATGATAATGAGCTGAATTTTTTTACAATGGTAGAACATGTTTGTGAAACCCTTTTAATGTAGTATTCAGCCTATCAGAAGACTTGCTACAGAAATCTGGTGTATAATAATAGTGTATTATATAAGAAGGTGAAGATATATTCTGAGTGTGTGCTTTGTACTTTGTGTAGAGGCTGGTGATTGGTACTCTTATCTGAAAGCGTGACAACATCTATTAAGGTGCTTGTCTAGTTTTTCATGTCCTCTCTTCTTTCAGAAGAACACTAATGCTTTAGAAAACCTCTTGTGAACTCAAGGCTATACATCTCTATGATACCTTTCCCGTGCTTCTCAGAGTTATGGAATTAAGAAAGAAGAAATTGCTTCAGCAGCATCGTTTTGGGTGTTGTCATTACCCCAGAGAATCCTGGAATAGGCTTGGATAAAACCCTTTCAGTATATAGGAGTTTTATTAATCACGGCTTTGAACTTTGGGGTTGCTTTGATTTGACAGATGGAGCAATAGCATGTATTTTTCTCTTTAATTGATGTACCTTCATCTCTTTTGCTTGAGAACGGTCTAATTGCTGCTTTGGAAATAATTTCTAGCCTAGCTTTACTTGTGAATCTTTTGTACAACCAAATTACAGCTCCATATATTCTCTCCTAACTTTTCCAGCTATAACTTCCCATAATTTTTTCCGAAGAAGCTTCTGTTTCATAACTGTACCTCTTCACACTCTCATCTTTTCAGAAAAGTTTTTGTCTTACTCTCTACCTTATAGCAGTAATTTTTTATATATATATTGCTACAGTGTCAGTTTGTCTCAGTTCTAATATGTTGATTAGATTGCCAGGGAATCTGCCACCAAGCACTGCTGCTGTCCAGAAAATTACAGGACAAGTGATTTTCTTGCTTTGTAGTTTTCTTTATTTTACACGTTTGTATCAGACAAGAACTGGAAATGGAAAATTTACACTGAAATCTGATTAAAAACCAGCTTGAGTCTTCTTAAGACAGTTTTTTCCCTTCACACCTATATTAGGAACAACATTGACCCAGTCATATCCAAATTGATAATGTTTTCCATCTTGCCCTTGCTTACTAGGAGATTTTGAGATAGATACAAACAGAATGAAATCGATTTAAACCTTTTGTTGTTTCTGCCTGTGACATGGATACCATCAGTGTTTCCAGAGCTTCATTTTTCACTGTGTTCTTTCCACCAAAAATTCCATAACCGAGAAACTTTCAGTGCCCACCGAGACTTTGTTATAGACTACGTGAGATCAGAAGCCAGCTACCTAATGGAAGCAGAGAGAATCTAAGAAAGCATAGTCATGTGTATCCTAGATCATATGTAAAATGAACCAAACAATATTGTCTAGTGGATTTCAGTCTTAAAATTGATGAAAGCAACAGCCAGACTTTCTTGAGGAGAGTACAGGAATAAAAAGAAGCAGACGTGAAAGGACAAAATGTTCACTTACAACCTTGTACACCACGAATGTGTGATGAATAAAAAAGAAAAAATATATATTAGAAATGGAGTGGACAGTACTAGCCATACAGTCAGGTAATTTATATTTGTAGCATTAGGCAATTTCTTACAGTATCTTTTTCTCAAATAAGCCAGGAAAATGTAGAAGGTATGATTTGGGGGACATAGAGGGGAATTAGTAGTAGGTTTCCATTATTTGTCTGCTATTTTGAAGTGCTTTCATGGTCCCAAAATAGAAGTTCGCCTGCCCTAAAATTGTAAAAATGTAGCTGGTACCTTTTTATGGCTGTGCTGTTGATTCCTGTAATACAGGAATGATATTTTACTTTTCAGCAGTCTTTGCAGTTCTTGCTGGATAACTGTAACTATATTCCCATTTTAATATTCGGATATAAACAAAAAATTATCTTTACTGTGCAAATGAGAAATGCCTTTGGGGATATGTAAAAGCCTCCAGGTATTTTCAAACAAGCCATTGGAAAAAGTACTACTCATGTTAGTATACTTTACAGCTACTTTAAATACTATTGATCTCAGTATTATGTAAAGAGCATGCTATTTCTAGTTCACTGCCTTTTGAAACATTTTTTTTTTTTTATGATGATGATTTGAAAAAAGAAAGGGCCAGAAAGTACCTTTTACAGGTAAATGCATGTGTAAACTCAAGTAGAGTTGGGATTCAGATGAGAATATCAAAGATTTTGAAATATTTTTATAGACTTTGAGAGCTCTCCTTTAAGACTCTTCTCTTGCAATACGTGAAATCTTGACATGGGTCAACTGACTAATTTTCTTCTAGGGCTTCTAGCTGACTCCTTTCCTTCCTTCTGGAAAGGAGATGTAGCAGGATCCATTAATGATCAAACTGTGCAGTGATACAAGATTTGGTAGATGTAAACGGGGATTGTATTATGCTAGATGGTATTGTTACAGGTAGTTACATTTGGCAAGCTTGCCTTACATAAATGTTTTTCCACACCTAAATTCCACATGTGCTGTGTCTTGCAAGTCTTAACAAAGAACAAGAATGGATTTATCGTTTCAGGCCACTCTGAGAAACAGTGGCAACCTGAATGTTAGTGCCAGTTATTCAGAGGGAGTTTTGTTGTTGTCCTTCCTGGGGAGTTACATCTGTCTAAAGGTGTACAAATGGACGAAAACATTGCTGAAGAGCAAGCAATCAGAAATAACCAAAGAATTTTTGGAAAGGTAATTGCAGCAACTTACGCTGTGGTTTGCTGCATCCTGGTAATAGCAAATTGTGGAAGAAACATCGAACAGGTTCACACAGATTTCTCACTGACTGATGACATGCAGATGTACTGAAAAGGACAAGTACTTTTTATGTAAAAAGATAAGTGAATGTGGTGTATGAATGAACAACATAGATTACTGTTGTTACTTGGAAAATAATTAAAAACTGTTATCTTGCATCTTTTGAGGGGATGATAAATACCTTGCAGAAGCTTTCTTAAACCACTTCATATTTTGCTCTTGTGCAAATTAACAGGAAACAGAATGACAGGAGAACGAGGAAGTAAACAAGATCTAACACATTTTTAAAGGCCATTACCGTTTTGTCATTCTGAGTTTAA